TTTTCTCATGTAAACACAAAGAGCAAAATCCACACCACATTCATTTAATTATCCAAACAAACTTCAACAATCCTTTTTTTTTTTTTTTTTGACAACCCCCAGACTTATGCATTTCTTATTTTTGTGCCAGAAATGCAGAAGGAAATCAGCAATTTTAATGACAATTATATAAATAGTTTTTTTTTTTTATGAACTTTTTAATTCAACACTTCTTCACACGCCTCTCAACACAAAACACACCACATACTAAACAAATAACAATTAAAGAACTTAAAATAAGAAGAAACACATAAACAAACTAAACACAAAATTTTTCAAATTTTCCTACCCCCAAACTTAAAATGACATTGTCCCCAATGTCACATCATGCACATCTCAAGAATAGAAAAACAGAAGTAAAGAGTACAATATACTCCCCTGATTAATCCGTGAAGGTTGATTTTCGTTCAACATTCGGATATTCGTTACTTGGCTTCCTCCTCCTCATCATCATCATCATCATCATCATCTGTAAAACAAATGAAAATCTATGGTGCCATTGTGTTAGATATCTTCACTGATTAATACGAAAAACTTACAACCTGATCTCAACCTTATCAAACTAAACCAGAAAATCCAAGCAACAACAATTAACGATCTAACAAAAGAAACTCGGTTCTGATTTACAAAACAAAAAGAAATGAAAACAGAAACTACAAATAAAAGTGTTTCAGGCTTCATTTGTCATCTTCCTCTTCCTCTTAGATGTCATCATCTTCTTCCATGGCATCATCTTCTCCCTCCTCTTGCCAATCTTGCCATTGGAAATTTGACACATCAATGCCTAGATTGGTGCAGTAGTTGTATTGCATCTCATACAGCATTCGGGTTTGACCTGCCATCCAATCTTGACATTGTTCCATTCTGTTCACTTTTTCCAAGATTTGTTGCAACAGCTTCCTTGTCGTGGATGTTGAAATAGGTGTGGTGGTTGTTGTTGTGGTTCTTGGTCTTTTCGAGCTGAAGCTAGTTCCTCCACTGGCAGGACGCTCTAGGAGCTTGAAATAATAGGCTTGGTCTAGGACTGAGGCAGGATGAAGAAGTGGTCATCTGCCTTCTTGACTCCATCTTTAATGCAAATCTCAGTGATGAGATATGGGAAGGCAAAACTCGCTCTCCCTGGTTTGGCTGCATGCCTTATATTCTCCATTATGATATTCCCCACAACCATCTTCTTTTCAGTGGCAATGGCATAAAGTAAGAGTGCTCACTCAAAAGCCACTAAACTATAGTGTGTTTCTGGAACCATCCTCGCACAGACAAAGTATTACCAAATTCTAGCCATGGGGATCAAATTAGTCCCTTTTATGCTTCTCCTTCCCTTCTTCAAAATTTCCCAAGAGGTGTCCGGCTTTGCAATAACCTTAAGAATCTCATCATAGTTAATCTCCTTAGCGTTGAATTCTACATACTTATCACGGTTAGTTGGATCAATTTGGTAGTATTCATTGATGATTTCTGCACTAAACGGCACCTTAATACCCCTCACATATACATGCCTGGGCTCACACTCAGAGAAGTTCGCATAAAACTCTCTTACAATTGGCTCTATGGCTAAATGCTTCGATTCATGCAGAAAGATGTCCCAACCTCTCCCTTCGCTCTTCGTGTTTGCATTGACAGTGGTCAATCCTCTCTCGGCAATAAAACCTTTGTCTTTTCTTCGAATTGCTACTTCATAACGCTGCCTAGCATTCTCATTCACAAATCTATTATCGACCTGTTTGCCCTTACCCTTGAGCACAACTTTGAGTGGCATTTCGTTTTTCAATAATGTTCACTAAAATCTAACCCCAAACTCAGCGATTCAATTAAAAAATTCAACACTAATGCACAATTTCTACAACCCAAAATCGCTTCCTCACTTCACCCTAAGTTTTCAAAATTGACACTTACACCCCAAAATCACCAATCTTCCAAACGCAATCCACTAACTTCAAAATTACAAACCGATACTTCCTCAACACACACAACTCAAACTCCACAATTTTCAACCCAAATTCACCTCACAATTCGCACAAATTCAAACTCAAGCACTTCAATCAATTCTTAAATATAAAGCAAGTACAAACTGAAATTGATTGAATATCAAAGCTAGATACACCAATTCGTACCTTGTCCACCTCGGATTCACCTTCGAATTCGTCAATTTCTGCCCAAATTGAAAGATCCCCAAATTTTACTCAACCTAGGGTTTCCGCAAATTCTTGCACAATCCTTGAAAAATTGAGATGATTTAGTGTTTAGAGGGTTAAGGAGTGGAGTAGTGGGAAGAATTTTTACTGGAAACGATCCGGATTGAAGGTGGAAGTGTTTAGTTCTTGGAGTCTTTTTGCTTGCTTGTGAAAAAAAATGGGAGAGTAATGTGAGTTTATATAGAATTTGGACTTTGCCGCGGTGAAGTTCTCGATTTTGCTTGATGCCGCGACGAAGTTTTTTTCTCGTCGCGGCAAAATCTAGAAAATTTTAAAACTTCGATCATCAAGAGTTTATTGCCGCAGCGAAAGCTTGAGAACTCAAAATACAAATATGGCAGTGAGTTTATAGCCATGGCAAAGTTTTTTTCTCGCCGCAGCAAAATCTAGGAAAATTTTGCTTCAATCCAATTTTTGATCAGACACTTGAAACACAAAAGGAAAATGAAATTAAGCTATTTCCTAAGTCAATTAATCATAAAAACAAATGAAAAACACTAAAAATCAGAATGCTTGGGTTGCCTCCCAAGAAGCGCTTGTTTATAGTCGGAAGCTCGACTTTCTCAAGTCCTTCGTCAATCTAGACTATCCAGATGCATCTCTTCCCAAACAGTTTCCCTGGACTGAGGCTTCAATTGTTGATGATTCTTGTCACATCGGGTCTTTGTTGAGAGCTTAACCACCCATTTCCATCCCTTGGTCGTTCCTTTTAGGATTCGAGCATTCTCATCGACAACTTTCCAATTTTTTAACTTTCCATCAGCATTCTTGAACTGAGAAGTTCATCCCTTGTGAAGACATTTTCTCGATTGTGGCCCATTTAGGTATGTTGTGTAAACTTCTGGTTTATGGCCTTCATCTTCGATTTGCCTTGACTTGACCATGCATCCCTTAATTGGCGATTTAGGATCATCAATCTTGGAAGTTTTAATTGCTGATTGATCCACCAAGTCAATTTCAAAACATGAATCTTGCTTCAATGGAACTTTTAGAGTCTCAAGGACATTGAATGTCACTTCTTCCTCTTACACCCTCATGATCAACTTCCTCTCTTATACATCAATTAAGGCTCTTCCGGTAGCAAGAAATGGTCGTCCCAAGATGAGAGGAATCTCCTTGTCTTCTTCCATATCCAACACAAAAAAGTCTGCCAAAAAAATGAATTTATCCACCTTAACTAGTACATCTTCAATAATGCCCCTTGGATGCTTGATGGATCTATCTGCAAGCTGCAAGGATATGGTTATAGGCTTCACTTCACCAATCCTTATTTCCTAAAAGCGGAAAAAGGCATTAGATTTATACTTGCACCCAGGTCACACAAAATTTTATTAAATGTAATATCTCCTATGATACAAGAGATAGTGAAACTCCCTGAATCTTTGACTTTTGGTGGTAGCTTCTTCTATAGAATGGCATTGCACTCCTCGGTAAGCATCACTATTTCCTCCTCTTCCAACTTTCTTTTGTTTGCTAGAATTTCCTTGAGGAACTTGGCATAGCTCAGCATTTGCAAAAGGAATGTTAATGTGCAGTTTTTTAAATACATCAAGGAATTTCGTGAACTGCTTATCATAATTTTGCTTTTTGAGCCTTTAAGGAAAAGGCACAGGACGGGTATGATGTGCTAACTCTAGTGGTATCTCAAGAAATGACAATTTTTCCTTCTTTTGCTTTGGCCTCTCTTCCCTCTTTGGTTCTTCTTCTCTGGGAATCGTTGGCTTCTCTTCAACCATGACTTCTTCCTCGATTTCTTCATCGGATTCTTCCTTAGCTTTACTTGGTGGGTTCTTATCCTTCCCTTTTTGTTCAACATCTTCCAAGACTGTTCCACTTCTTAAAGTTATTGCATTTACTTGTTCATGTGGATTTGTCACCGTGTTACTTGGTAGGGAACCTTGAGGTCGCTCATTCAATTTTTCGGCTATTTGACCCATCTATACTTCCAAGTTTCGAATGGACGCCCCTTAGTTTCTGAAATTTTCCATCGTCTCACTCATGAAACTTGTGGTCTCTTGCATGAACTTCCTGAACATATCCTCTAATTTCAATAATCTTTGATCCCCTGGTTGATGGTTCACCCCAACTTGATTGTTTGGTGCATTTCTTTGGTTCAATTAATTATTCTGATTGCCCCAAGATAGATTTGGATGATTTCTCTAACCAAGATTGTACGTGTTGGAGAAAGGATTGTTCTGTTGTCTCTGATTCCCTGCCAAATATTTGACTTGTTCTAATGATGATGAAGTTGAAGCAAAGGTGTTCCCCACTTGGCATTCATTGCTCGCATGGTTACCTACACAAAAATCACATGTCATTTGAGGTGTTTGAATAGAATTTACCTACATACCTCCTAATTGCCTTTGAAGTGCTATAAGTTGGGCTGAAATGGCCATGTAAGCATCATGAATAAGCATCAACTTCATGAATACCCATAGACTTCTTTGGATGCATTCTCTCATTCGGTCTCTGATAGTTGTTATTTGCCAGGACTTCAAGTAACTCATAAGCTTCTTTAGGTGTCTTGTTTTGCAATCCTCTTCCAGATGTTGCATCCACCATTGTTTGCACATCTATCATCAACCCATTATAGAAAGTTTAGACTTGCATCCAAACCGGTAAACCATGGTGTGGACACTTTCTTAGCAGTTCCTTATATATTTCCCAAGCTTCATAAAGTGACTCATTCTCTTCCTGCAGAAATGATGTGATGTCGTTTCTCATCCTCGCAGATTTTGCTGGTGGGAAATATTTAGTTAGGAACCTTTATGCCAATTCATTCCAGGTGGTGATTGTTCCTGCTGGTAATGCCATTAACCATCCATTTGCTTTATCTCTTAATGAGAATGGAAACAGTCTTAACCTGATGGCATCATCCGACACTACATTTGCCTTAAATGTGTCGCAAATCTCTAAGAAGTTCGTAATGTGTGAATTTGGGTCTTGCTTTGGATCTCCCCCAAATTGTACTAACTGTTGGATCATTTGGATGATTGCTGGCTTTATTTCAAAGTGTTTGGCTTGCACCGGTGGCCTAGTTATACTTGGATCACTACCATCAACCGAGGGCATTGAGAATTCCCTCAATGTTCTGTTTTTTGCCATCTTAATGACTATCGCCTCTCGTTCTCTTCTCTCTCTGTTAAGTTTTCTTGCGATTCTTTCAATCTCTAGATCAATAGGAACCACTGGATGACGTCTACCTCTTCGCATAAACTACACAGACAGAAAGAGAGCGTGAGATCACAAGCAAATAGAAAAGAAACAACAAAATTAAACTAGAAAATAATTAAAACTAAAATTAAACTCCAATCTAGCTAAAACCAAAAAAATTCAATATTAACACAAAATCAATCCCCGACAATGATGCCAAAAACTTGATGCTTGTTTTCGTAAACATGCAAATATGTAGCAAGTGCACTAGTCGCAACAAGCAATAGAATGATGGGTAAAGTATCGTTCCCATGAGGGTTGCATGTCAAGTACTAATTTTCCTAGTTTGTATCAAGTTGGAGTAAATGTAAAATGGTTGGATTTGTGGGAGACAATAAAGCTGAAGTTAAAACAAAATCAACAACATAATTTAAAATATAACTAATGAAGGCAATATCGATTCAAGAACTTCACTAGGATTTTCTGGTTTAGTCTACGATTTCTGTTGCTTCTAAGTTCACATGCAAGGATTATAAATCGGAGACACCCTAATCTGCAAAATATACCTTCTCAGGCTATATTCTGCTACTTATCCCTACTAAGCTTCCGCACCCTACAAATTGAAGGTTAATAGTTCTAAGTCTATTAAGCTAAGTGGAATCCTAAATTGATTTCATGGATCTCCGAACCTATCTCTAGCATTCAATCAATCAATGCTATTTACTCTAAGAGGCCAATACATGAATCACTTCTCAGTCTCATCATGCTCAACAATTAATTGCAATTAGAACAAGAATAAATACATAATCCAAGCAATAAAATATGAAAGCAACATCAATTTATAGATTAGACATTAAAATCCCAATTACATCAAAATCCTAACCCAAAAGTGAGTTAGTTCATACTCAAAATAAAGCAAATCATAAGAAAAACTGTAAAAATAGAGTTCAACATGCTGAAAAAAGGGAAAAAGAATAAAATCTTCCCTATTTGATGAACTCAAAGGCTTCTAATCTCCAATTTCTCTCTTCTCCCCTCCAAATAGTGTCGAACCCCTTTTAAAATGAACAAGTCGCTCTTAGATAGTCGACCCCAAAACCCACAGACTCATCCAATATAATTAAAACGCACAGTTTTAACACACTGAAAGATTGCAGTTTTTGCCGCGGCGAAGAATAAACTTTGCCGCGACATCGAGTTGGGTTTTATTAAATTATCTGACCCGAGACTTTCTCGCTGTCGCAAGGAATAAACTTCACCGCGGGGAACTTTTATGAAATTATGAAACTGCCCTCTGCTTGCTTCTTTGCTTGAATCTTCAATCTTAGTGATCCACAATAAGAACAAGTTTCATAGTGCTTCTAATTCAAATCAGAATTTTCCCGATTCTTGAAATTCGCTTGATTCTGGGTCCAGAAACTCAATTTTGCTCAGTTTTTCTCTAACTACATGTTTTGGCCTAAAACGTAAAATATATGAAATTAAGTTGCAATTCAAGCACAAATTTAAGAAGTATCGAAAATCCAGCTAAAAAGCATAAATAAAACAGTATAATCCTAGGATTATCAATCATCTTGATCTAAATCTTTTGATAGAATAAAAGTATTTTTAATACAAAAAATTTGTATACATACATGAGCATTAGATAATTTATAATTAATGTTTAATTGTTGACCATTAGCTCCATGTAATCTTTCTTTTGTTTTTTCATAATATTTTGTTGGAATTAATCTTTCTCTCATACAATTTTGATTTGCTCCTGTGTCTACTAAGGCTTGTGTAATAATATCTAATTCATGATTAATATTAATCCTAATATAAACATGCCATTTTTGAAATTGAATTCTAGAGATTTCATTAATAAAAGATTCTTCAGTTTCTTCAACAATTTTTAATTCTAATTTTGATGTTGATGGTTGTCCTATAGTTTCTTTAAAGGCTTTTAAGCATAATAAATCTATCTTATTTTCAAAATTATCTTTTTGTAATTCCTTAACTTGATTTTTTAGAATATTGATTTCTTCTTGCAAGACACTTAGAGTAACTTGTGTGGGTTTGTCAAATCTTTTTAATATGTCTTTTAAATTATAAGAATCTATATTTAGATAAAATTAATTCTTTAGGTTTTAATAAATATTCTCTTTTAATATATTCATCCTGAATTTTATCAATAATATCTAATAAAAATTCTTTTAATTTAGTGATAACATTTATCGACTTAGGTCTAGAAGTTGATATCATATTTATTGATTTCATTGCACAATAGCAAGGCCCCATGCACTTACAGTCATCAGAGTCTTGTGAAGACTCACTCATTGTTTCAAAAGAGTTTTCTTGAATTTGATAAATCATATCTTCAATATATGTATTATAACTAGATTCTTCTTCAAAGTTTGTTTAAATAATATTTAATAATTGTTGTTTTAATTCTGACTCTATTTCTAATTTTTTAATTTGATTTTTCATAGGACACTTAGTTGCATAATGACCTTGTTGTTTACATTTCTAACATGTGGTAGGTTTTTTAGATATTTTAGAAGATTTTTTCTTTTTATAAGGCTTATCGTAAGATTTTTTTTTCATATTTATAATCTTTTTTGTAATAAGGTTTTCTATGTTGTTTTTGTTTTTTATCTTTTTTTTGTACTTAAAAGAGAGACGTAATATTTTTTCATAACCATATTGACTACAAAATCTACTTAATTCTGTCTTCTTATGTTTTAATTTATTTTTGTAATTTAGCTTTTAATTTTAAATCAGTGCGAATTATTAAAGCTTCATTGTTAATAAAACTAATCAAATCTCCATATGTTAATTCTTCATAAGGTATATTTCCATCATATTTTCCATATAATGCATTTTTAAAAGTTTGACTAAATAATCTAGGTAGACCGTCTAGGAACCTTTCTTTCCAATAAGGTTTCCTACAGTTTGTTCTTGTGAATATTTTTTGTAAAAACATATCCTTATACCATCTAAAATCTGCCATGGTTGGATATCTTAATTTTGAAAATATTTCTTGTGATCTTTTTTGAAAACTTGTTGGGTCTCCTACAAACCTTTTAGTTATTGCATAGATTAATGTAGAGACTGCATCTTCTTCTTCTTGTTCACACTCCATTTGACTAGTACCTTATGTTTTAATTTTTCTAATTTTTTTGTTACATGTAATATTAATTTTCGATGAGCTTCTGTTAAATCATTATCCCACCAAATTTTTAGCATTCTTATGAATCCTGAAACTAATATTTTTGCTATTTGGTGATCAATGTTTTCGTGGATTTTATGGGCTAATGCTAGCATTGTCATTTCTTGTAAAACGTTTAATATTTGGTGTTTAGCTAATCCATCTATATTCCATTCATCTATTCCTGTTCCATTATAGGTAGATCTTGATAATTGAGTTACATCTTCGAATTGTATATCGGGAAAGGAAGGTCTTGGGTAATAATTTCGAGTTTTAGGATATTTCATATTGTTTCTCATTTTATTAATAGATAAGTTTTGAAAGTTTTGATTTAATTCTTCTATAGAGTCGGATTCTGCAAGAACATTAGTGTTTGATTTTGAAGGTGCTAATTCATTAAGTTTTTTGCTAATTTTTTCTAGAATAGTATTGTGATTATTGAATTTTATTATTTCTTCTTTTGGTATATCAAAGGATTCAAAAAATGGTTTAACATATTTTTGTGCATAAAGAGGTGTTGAATTTCTTAGAGGTGTTGAATTTTCTATATCTATTATCTCCTTCCCGGGGTTTTTGAAAATTTTGTGATTATATGTGTAGTATTATTATCTTCTATCCTATTCATTTGTTGACTAATAGTGTGGAGAATTTGATTAGAGTAATTGTTTTGATGTTGAATATTTTTAATGTCTCTTAAAGTTGGTTGTTCTTTGTCTTCATCAATTTTATTAATTTTTTTAAAGGGTGATGCTATTATTTCTGCTTGTTGATGTTCTATTTTAATTTCTTCTAAAGGTGGATGTATATATCTAATAGTTTTGTTTCTTGATGTCTGCCAATTTTTTTTTTTTGTATTAGTAGTTACAAAAATAGTTTTCTTTTCACTTAAATTTTGATAATATTTTCTATTTTCTAACCAATTAAAGAAATAAATATTTTGTTTTAATTTTTCTTGTGTATTATACAATTCAGATCTAAGGGTATTCTGTTCTTCTGGTTTAAATGTTGTAAAGAAAATTTGTCTTTTTTCTTTATTATAGTTTTGTAGGAATTCTTGTTTTAATAATTCTTTGTTAATTTCAAAGGGTTTAGTTATTGTGTTAATTTGACTATAATTTCCTAATACTTCTAATTGTGTTGGTAAACTATGTGGACTTTATGTGTTTTCATATGCTGGTTTTGGTATAGGAGGGGAGTAATTTACTCCTACTAATTTACTTGTTGAACTTGCTGATGAGGGCCTCGGTGTAGTAATTTCTTCAATCCTAGGGTTGTGATGATTTTTATTAGTAATTATGGGTTGATTTTATTCTAAAGGAGTTTCTCTAAATTTTAATCTTATTGTACCATCTGGTTCTTCTATTATTTGTTGTATTTCAGATTCATTTTGATCATGTAAAGGTTTTGGAAGGCATACTTTTTCTAATTTCCAATCTGTTTGTTTAATAATTTCATCCCAAGCTAATCTTTTTGGTGTAAAAGTTTTTATGTTTTGTTTTATCTGCTTCCATAATAACTGTATGTCTTGGTGGGGACATCCTAATGGCTCTTGGACTAATTGTGGTATTCATAACTTTGTAATAAATCCTATATATTAATGCTATTGGTTGGGCTTTATCTTGATAAGTAAGATTAGAAGCTTTTAAGTTAATAGTTAATGCATACAGTATTGTTGGATCATATAATCTTACCATAAAGTTTAGATAACAATCAAAATATACTGGACCATTTTCTAAATTAGACTTTAATACTGCTAATAAAGAGTTATTGAAGTTTAAATTTCTTGCATCTCTTAACATTACTATTATTGGAATGTTTTGTCCTAATCTAAATAATGGTTTTACTGTTATTTGTACTAATCTTATGTGTAAAAATTTATAATTGTTTTGTCGGTGTTTATGTATTGCTTCTTCGGAGAAAAGTTGAATTTCTTCAACCTTTTCTTTGGTTATCATTATTGTGTCTTCTGTTGTTTTAATAGAGTAATCTGACATAAATTCAAAACTACATTTTTGATACATTGTGTCTTTTTTAACTGGTGGTATGTTCCAGTTATGTAAATGTTGATCGATTTTTGCTATATTAATCTCTTGAGTATTAATAGATTTCATTAATTCTTGGTTATTGTTTATGTTTTGGTGTTGATTATTAATTCTAATAGCGTTACTGCTACTATTATCATCTCATCTACTGCTACTTCCTAATCTCCTTAAGAAATTAGACATCTCTAAAATAATTATAACCTAAAAGTTCCAATTTCTCTCTTAGACCACGGGACCACCTAACAGGGATGACCAAGTGCACCCTCCAGGCTGACCAAGCGCGACCTAGAATCAATTCTAGAGTTCTTCAAGATTAAAGCCTTCTAGATTTATCTAACCCCTAATTTAACTAAGAAATGAACAATGCTACAGATGAACAATAGACTGTAAACAGTAACAGTGAACAGTGATGAACAGTGTTTTGCTACCGTAACTACGTTAATGGATGTTAATTTGTGAAGTTGTAATAAAATCACGTTTCTTCCTGTAAGTTATCATTCAATATTTTCATTTCTTACATCTTCATTTTGTACTTTTCATATTTATTAAATCATACACATTATATATATATAAATTAATTATACAACCCACACGAACCAAACATAATAATAATTTATACCTATTAATCTTCAAGGTTATCTATCTCACTAGTAATCCTATTTTTTTTGATAATAAAACATTGTCGAAATCAAGCGCCTCCTAAAAGAATTCATAATTCTTATATGGTAAATTTATCCCTCTCACTCATACTTCACTCAAGTGGTTCACAGAATTATTTGTATCTTATGCTTAAATTCTAAAAGTTAAAAGTTACCAACACCACACAAAGCAATAAAATAACAGTGGATGTAGGCTTTATTTGTTCTCACGACCGAACCACTTTAAAAATGTCTAGTTTATCTCTCATCTACTAGGAGATTCATCACCAGTTTGAGCTCCACCGCATGCGACATGGGTCACTAACGCTGGTTCCCAAGAATCATGCACCCATCTTACTCGGTTCTCCTAGAAGTCAACCGAGTATCTCTGGTTGGCGAGTGTTGATGTCTCGGTGATTTAACGGTTACAAAAATTCACATCAACAAAGTGGAAACCATGGTTGAAGAACAAGAAATTCAAGTTGAAGACAAACATGTTAAAGTCGAATATTTGAACGAGAAGGTACAATTAGGAGCTAAAGCAAAGCAAATTGTTGAAGAAGAAGTTTTTGTTCAAGAGGTCGAGTATGTTGAAATTGAAATGAAGCAAGAAGCAACTATCGAAGGCAAAAACGTTAAAGTATTTACTATCTTAGTTCGTATTTTACAAGGCAATGTTTTTAGCTAATGGTGGAAGAAAGATAAAGAAGAATGGATATTTTCGAGTTTCAAGCAAGATTGATGATAAGGGTTACGTGTTTGCTACTTTGGAGGACATAATGGTTTATCAACCGAAAACCCGAACTCGAGGACGAGTTCTTCCTTACAAATAAGTAACATCCTCGTCTCTTTCCATTCCATTGACAAGATTGAATTTGCACTTCCTTTTTAAATAGTTAAAAGAAAATTGATTAATTAATTATCTTCGCAAATTAACCAATAATCAGTCTCAATCTTGAATTATTAACTCAAAACACTAGCATGGACGGAGGCACTAAGAGCTCAGCAGGGGCTCATGCCCCCACTGACCCTAGAAAACTTTGTTAATATCCTTCTAATTGTATTCTTAACAGTAAAAACCCTTTATTTTATTTCATGAAGCAGTCTCAATACATATAACCACCACTTTTCTTTTTTCTCTCAAACCTTCACAATATTTTAAACTTACTCTTTCTTTTTTTTCCTTATAATTGAATACAGACTATAGTGTACATAAGCAAAATAACCAATATACTTATAATTCCAAACCAAAGTTACTTTTTTTTTTTTTTTCTCTGACCAAATTATCTTCGCCTATTTAAAATAGTAATATTAACCAATGTCTCATGTTTTTGATATATATGGGGTCGATTTTTTTATTTCTAATCTACAATTTGTTTTATTTTTATTTTTTTACCCCCACTTAAACAAAATCCTAGCTCCGTCACTAAATACCAGATTGTTTAAAATGTTTACCTGTTTATCACTGTTAAAGTGCCCACTTCGATTAATTGACTGCATTTAAAAATAATAACATCAAATAATAATAATAATAATAATTAATAGAAGAAAGAAATCAAACATCCAAAGTTTATACCGTAGTATTCTTAATAAGCTCGTAACTAACATCCTGAGACTTGTATGTTTTGGGATGCCATTTATTCTCAGACAAATCTACATATGTAACTGCACGATTTGCAATTCCACCAGGATCAACCATCTGAAAAGGTATAGAAATTATCATAAATCAATGCTGTGGTACTAATTAAATTAAAGTATTGAAGAAATTAAAATGCTTACATGGAGGAAAGTTGGCAAGTAATGTTCATCAGAGACGCAATATTTCGCCTCCGAAGTTAGCTTTAACAATCAATAACATTCTTGTCAAACAATTAATTCAGTCTATGGCTTACTTTAGAGATTAACAAATAATTGCATGAAACGGACCATATATTTAAAATAAAATGATCACCTTGCAATGATATCTGAATTTTGAATACTAAAGATTGTCAGCCACAGTTATCAGTGCGTGTTGCCTTTTCATTGAGAACCACTTCAGTAATTCACCATAGACGATGCATGAAGAGGGAAAAGAGTGAAAATATAATATAGTAATTTAAAATACATGAATTTAAATATTACTAATATTAAAACTATATACTAATTAATATAAATTCAAGTTTGAAAATGATTCGAGAGAAGAATACACAATTCTCTCAGGTTGCAAGATACATACCTGTGATCCCTTTCTGAAATATTTCTTCTGAATTTCAGGTAATAGGCGTGGTGAATACCTTCCATTTCCAAATCTACCAGGCTCCTCAAAGCTGAAGGACCATGCATTTCATAAAGGCAAAATAAACTCAGTAAAGTAATTAATTAACATGATCGTATATAAGGACATATTTGTAGCATATATATAATTATACTTACTTTTCAACGAAGCTAGTATTTGCATACATCAAGTAATTGTAAATATAGTCAAAACTATGCAATGGTACAGAGCTGCAATCCCACAAATATGAAAATAAATGATTGAGAAATTGAAGCCAAAATGAAGAAAGATAAATAATATGAATAAATATTATCTCACCTATCAGAGAGTAACACAAAGTTCTGGTTTTGAGGGTCTTGAAATGCATTTGCCAATAATCGTCTCTCTGCATCAACCATTGAAATTCCTTCCCAAACCACCTGCACATAATATTACGCACTCAATGACATGTTAGTTTGTTGGCAAAATTTGTCACATTTGAGGGAGCAAACTAATTTAGAACAATAACATCACATATCTACGTAAAAATCTAACCTTAAAAGATTTTTTTATGGAAGTGTTTAAACACACGAAAACTTGAATTTGAAAGCACAATTTTTCAATCGCTTTTTTTATTCAATGTAGAGGTAACTTTTATCGAAAATGATAGAGCCACCGAAGGTTGCGCATCGAATGACGTGACAAAATCCTAACCGTTGATTAATATTAACTGATAATGAATCAACGGTCAGGATTTTGTCACGTTATTTGGTGCACAAATTCGGTGTGCAACCTTCGATGGCTGTAGCATTACTCAACTTTTATTCAAACAAATACAAAGTAGAAAAGATTAAATTTGAAAAGCCCATAATAAGACGGTAAAGCAAAACAAAACGAAATGAGTAAATCAAATATAAATTATACTTTATCAATAGTTTATTGGTTCTATTAAATTTCTCTTCTAAGTATAAAAACCTAAAACAAAGTACATATATATTACTTATTCTTCGACATCAGTGAATCATAAATTTGACGAAGATAACATGTTAGAAGGATTAGAGGAATAACAAAAAAACAAGAGTATTAAATCCACAATGAGTTGAAGAACGTAAATACCTTGGCACTCCTTATTTCCCGATTAACAAAGCGACGACTCACAGGCACTGGTCTTTCATTTGATGCATGGACATAAACAGAGAACATTCCGTCGTGATCCTGCCAATTAATAAAATTATAAACTCAAGATGATCATAAATTTGATGAAGCAATAGGAACAAGGAATATGATAACATGTGAGCATTTCTAAATCTATACTTGTTTTAAAGGAAAAGTGAATAATCCTGATATTGAGTACTCTCAGGATTTTCATGCGAAAATTGATGAAAACAAACATTGAGACAATTATATACAATTTTTGGTATAAAAAATTTTGATTGAATTTTTGTCTTTCAATATTTAAAAACGGTGGCAAATCATCTAGTACTGCTAAAAAATGATGTCCACATTTTAAAAGAATGTATAGACGTAATGCAGACTTCTGCAATGTATAATTCATTTAGTATACAAAACATTTAAAAAGAAAACCCTAAACGTACGTACGTGGAAAAACTTATCCCAAAGCAATTGAAAAGGCAATGGACCAGGAGTCAAGAACAAAAATGCACTTTTCGAGTTGTTGGATTGAACAGGAGGGGCATTCAAAATAATCGTATTCACAACACGAGAAACCAATACTTCATCTATATAAATCCTCGAAGGTTCACTAACTGGTGGAAGCCATTTAGAAAACGATTTGCAACCTTTTGAATAATAATCAAATATGTAACGGGCAGTACCTTTGTCATAAGCACAAACTAGAAGCAGGCTTATTATTGAAAATAAGATCAGTAGCCATTTAGAAAATTTTATCTCAACCATGTTTTTTTTTTTTTTTTTTTTTTAGTTATTATGTAGGTGGTGCCAATTGGTTTTGTTAATGATTTGAATAATCTGAAATTGGAAAGAACTGAATCAATTAATGCTTTAAATCTATCAAGTTTATTTGCGCCGGACATATAAGGGAGAAGTATTATATTACACTAAGAATAATACAATGTATATATTAAAAATATTTCGACAAATTATTCAATAAAATTGAACTCATTCAAATATATTAACTATTTTTTATTATAAATAATATATTTTCTTTCTAAAAAAAAAATTCTTTTCTTTTAAATAACTTCACTTTTCAGACTATTGGAAATCCAGTTCAATTGAAATTTTTTTTTAGATTGAATTTACATTGTATACACTATAGTATGAACATGGACCTAGTCAAAGAATTCCATTAGGGACCAAATCAAAGAATAATGAAATTTATTTTCGAAAGAATCGATAATAAATGAAAAATTAAGATAATGTCATGCTGATACTCATTTATATGGTAGTTTATTTAATAGCCGAATTCTCTTTTGATCCCCATCTATAGGAAAGAAAAACCTCCCCAATTGGTTATGGAAACACAAAACGTCACCCCTAACGTTAGTCTCTGTCCATTTAAATTCTAAGTTGATCATTGAAATACCAATTTACTTTTATAAATTTATAACAAAAGAATAATCAATTGGGAAAGTTACTGTTAACTCCTAAGCGTTTGAATCATATAATGTTTTATTACCGGGGATATTATATTAACGGAATAAAATATCACTTTGAAGATTATTGGGAATGTTTAGAAAATTTGTTTGATTGGGTCAAATAAATTGGTGAATAATATGTTTGGTTGAGAGGATAAATAGGTGGGTATGTTATATAGATTACTAAATTGCCCTCCTTTTTAAATATTAATAGAACAGTATTTTTTATTATTATTTTTTTGAATAATTCTTTTAACCCCCTACTTTTCAGATTTAGCAAAAACACCCTTGCAACCAAAAACGTTTTAAACTTAACAAAAACACCCCTACCCACCCCAAGCCACTACTGGTAGCCAGCCAGCCACCACCGCTGGCAGTGCCATAGATCTAGTTGTGACGCCGGTAGTGCCACGATTTGTTCGTGACGCCGGTAGTGCCACAGATCTGGTCATTTCATGGCCAAAGACCTGGCCGTTTCACAGCTAGATCTGGCCTTCTCTGACCATAGATTTGTGATCCATGGTCAGAAAAAGCCTCACCAGCGCACGGCCTCGGTCGTACGCCATTATGGCGACTTTTGGCAGCCTTCGACAGCAGTCAAAGGTGGTGGCTAGTTTTGGGTATAATGACATTTTTGTAAATAATGATAATAACAAGGGCAATGTCATCTGAAAAATTTAAAAAGCGAGGAAAAAAGTATATGCATGAGTGAATTGGGTGTTTTGTAAATGTTAACAAATATAAGACTAATTTGGACCAAATGGTCTATTGTTTAGGGGCAACATAGGAAACAAAATTGTATTACCAATGTAAGTTTTAATAAAAGCACACCCCCCCCCCCCCCCCCCCCCCCCCCCCCCCCCCCCCCCCCCCCCCCCCCCCCCCCCCCCCCCCCACCCCAAAAAAAAACATCGTTATCTGCTCAATTTAAAAAAAATTAACCCTGTTATCTAATATTAATCCCATCCAAACGGCCGCTAAATAATAAAATTTCATAAACAAATCCTAATCAAAATCTTGTCTACCATCCGCTTCAAACTCATTCCACCTCATCAAAATACCCAAATTTCTTTCTGATGACACAGACTATGATTTCAGAGAACTGCATCTAGAATAAGCATAAACACATAAAATAAAATTAAAAAAAAAAAAAAAAAGAGGAAAAAGAAGAGTTATCATGCATTAATCTTTATTCATAATGATTAATTAATTATGTAATGGACTAATGATTTTAGGATTAATCACTAATGTCAATGCAGACAAATTCTGCAAAGCATAAAAAAATATTTACAAATTAAATTAATCACCGGGATTAACTTTGGGTTTTTGGGAGTGAATATATATGTTAAATGTTACCAAAATGTGATACCATGTAAAAGGGCTTAGGAGATATGCTTATAGGAAAATCTAGAAGTCCATATGATAAATTAATATGACCTTATATAAGGGTCACTATATGCGTAAAAAATCATATTGGAGAATAGCATTATAATCATTATACGGTCCAGTGCCTTGGCCCAAATCCGGTTGGCCCACGTCTCAATTATAGCCCGATGCCTTGGTTCAACATTGGTTGCTCTTAAAAAATACTCGCAACCTAAATCTGGTTGGTCTTGCATTGAAGTCCTTTTCTAAGAAGGTTCGCTACACGAGTTGATCCAATCTACAAGTCGGTCTCTTCTACGAGCCTATCCACACTCCATGAGTTGGGCTACTCTACAAAGCCACTTCACGATCTGGGTCACTCAACGAGTTGCATCTCTCTGACAAGTTGGGCACAAATGCAAGGTGAGTTGGCCAAGGGTCCCAAGCTCATCTACCTTCAAAATCCATAAGGATCATGACTCCTTAAGAGCTCTAAGTTCCATGAAATACTAGCTCGCAAAAGACTTCTAACTCTACAAAGAGTCTAGCTATCTAAGACTTCTAGTCTTAGAAGAACTCGTACCTTAAGGAGTCCTAAAGTCCCATACAGACTCTAACACCCACGAACTTCTAGTCCTATCAGGAGTCCCATAAATCCTGGCAATTTTAAGTCTTAGAATGGTTTTCTTCCTCAAGTATTCTAGTTTCACCTAAACTAGTATTCCTAAACAAAAAGGCCATAGAACTCCTAGTTCTACTACGACTGAAACCTTTATAACTTGCTATAAAAATAGAGGTTTGCCCTCTCGGATATCATTCATGATCCTTTACTCTCTCTACATACTTATTCAGCCGATAAGTCTAGAATCCACGCATTCTAAACGCAAACCTCATGTAATTCCCCCACTTATAGCCATCTTTTGCCGTAGAATCGAGTTCCAACCCTTCTACAGTGAAATCAGCTTGCCTAGCCCTAAAACACAGTAACGTACCTTACCTTTATGTTCACTCAGTTTTCCATCACAATCTTGCTGACTTGAGTGTTGGACTGCCTATGGCAGACACCACAACGGGTCCCCAAGTGCTTCACATTTTCTTTCCATGTCTCTCTGTAGGATTTCATGATTGTTGGTGGCTCAACATCCTACCAATAATTCAGGGTAGATTTTATCATCTATAGTCACTATTTTCCCTACAATATATAAATTCTAAGAATACGAGAGTTTAATGTAGTAATCATTTCACCCTATATATATATAATATATATTGAAACAAACCTATTGATGTAGCGTTTTGCACTATTGGACAGTGCTTAAAACCTAGATCCTGGGGTACATTTGCAAGATTAGAAAGTTACAGGACTGTATGTGTTAACTTGGTTTGGGTTAAATTGTGAAGAATAAGAAGTTGTGTAAAGCACACCGTTTTGTGTTTTAAGAAACTATATAGTTGTAATTGTATTCTCTTCCAAAATCAATTAATAAAACACCTAAATTTTCTGCATTTCTTCTTTCTCTTCTTCGAGCATTTTGTTTACTTGATTTTCTTGAAATCACTTTCATGGTATTAGAGCCAAGACAAACGTCCATGGCTAATTCGAGTCTTGAAATGTTAAATTCTGGTTCGAAATCTGAAGATGAACAAGCTGGTTTTGCAAATGCAACAAGCTCAACTACTCACTCATCCCTTCCAACACTTAATGTAAAATAAGTAAAGAAGAAATACACAAATTGGCGCTCACAAATTTTACCAGCTCTTGCCTCTTATGAGCTTGATGGATTCATTACAGTTGGGTCCACTTGTCGTCCTATTGATGCGTGTTTCTTACAACATGCAAAATGTAGCAAGTATACTAGTCGCACAAAGTAATAAAATGATAAGTAGAGTATCGTTCCCACGAGGATTGTTAGCAAAGCACTGAGTTTCCTAATGTTATCAAGTTGAAGCAATCGATAAATTTGGATTGATGGGAGCTAATTCTAATTAAACTAAAAAATGAACTTTAAACTAAAATTCTAATTAAGAAAGCAATATGCAAACGCAGAATATCAATTCAAGAAAAGCGGGTAGGGTTTTGACTTCATTTGGATTTTATGGGTTAAACCTAAAAATTACACTAAATTCACATTCATATGCAATGGTTGTAAATCGAACTCACTAAGGTGTTAAACATACCCTCTCGGGCTATGTTTTCCTATTCATCCTTATTAACCTTCTGCACCCAACAAATTGAAAATTAACAATTCCAAACTCATTAAGCAAAAGAATCCTACAATGATTTCATTAATTCTTGAATCTATCTCTAGCATCCAATACTATAATGGTGTTTACCCATGAAGCCTAACATGAATTATTTCTCAATCTCATCATGTTCATCAAATACAGCATTAAAATTCAGAGTAAACACACAACCAAGGTAGATTCATATGAAAATAAACAATCAAACACTTAACCCATTAAAATCCAATCTACAATCAAAACCCTAACCCATAAAAGATTAGTTCATAGCTAAATCAATAATACAAAAACGAAAAACGAAAATAATCAAGTTCAACATAATGAAAATGAGAAATAAGATAAGAAATCTCCCCAAAAGATGAATCCTTTAAATAGAATCGAATCTTCTCTCTTTAACAACCCAAAATGCTCAAAGTTTTACTAACAAAAATGTAAAAGCGGCTAACCCTAAAAAGATGAAGACCCCTCAGCAAAAGGTTAAGTTTTTCTTTTATACTTAGTCCAAATAACCCAGCCAAAACACGCACAAAACGAAACTGTGCGTTTAACAAAACTAGAAAAATTGACTGTCGCCGTGGCGAAGAATGAGGCAGACATGCTGGTCCCTGGCTTACTTCGCCGCGGCGAAGACAATTTCTTCGCTGGGGCGACGCTTCTTGAAAAGTTCTGAAATTACAGAACTGCCACTCTGCTTGCTTC